GCATAAGGCGGCGAGCCACAGAACGTGTCCAGTTTCTGATTGGCACCTAAAAGATGGTAAGAATGGTAATTTTAAAATTCGATTTCAAGTAATTATCAAACGTTGCATTTATTAAATTTATTAACAAAAATCAAATAATTTCAAAATCTCATACGAAAAAAAAACAATTTACTCAAGAAACTAGAAGTCAATGTAGTAAAACTGAATTCAAAATATATTATTTGCAATGCAGAATAACAATATGGGCATCGAATAATAGAAAAAACTCTTTAGAATTCCAAATACATTATTATTTTTCTTGGTGTACAAGAACCAATAGCTATTGAAACTGATCAGTTAGAAGAACGAAATTCGAGGTTTATCTATTAGACCGTAACATATATTATTATTTTTTTTTTTTTCAAAAACAGCTATTGGAAATTTTCATAGCTATTGAAGGATAAAATTTAAAAAGGACATTTACAATACCTATTGGTTCATATGCACTTCGTACCTCGTGTTCGTAAATGACCGGCTACTTGCAACCGAATACATCTGTAAATCATTCTATCATCATAAACTAACGACAAACCATTTTGCCTTTAGTTGGTGAAGTTGAACGAATAAATAACCGATGCGTTCAGATATGTACAAGTAACCGGTCATTTAAGTAGAAGAGTAGTGAAGTGACTTGTTATTCGATGTTGCACTGAGTTTTTTAAATTATTTTTTTAATAAATCATACATATTTGAAATTTCAAAGCCTTTAAAAACCCCTAACGTCGCACAGTGGCTCGACTATATGGAGGCAGGTAGAAAAAAGTCATGGTGAGAGTTGATAAAAAAACCGGTTGGACTTACGAGAGGGAAAAGTAAACGTCATAAATACCGAATTTCACCTTATCTACTCACTTCCCTTCTTCACGAACGATACATTTCCGAAAAAATACGAGAATCGGCGTGATACCGTCTAATCAGTTTAGTTGCCTTTGGCGATTAACCCATTAAAGCAAGTGTTTCTTTTTCAACTGTAATCAATTATTTAAGTGTCGGGGTATATTCAGGTGAAGGTGTTTATCATTTATTTGGTACTTTCCTATTTTCTTATTAAAAAATTTACTTTAAATGGTAGATGCTAAAGATTATTAGTAAAAAAAAAGTGACCGGTCCGTCAGGTCTTGAAATTAGACCAAACTACACAATTCTATGTAGCCTTCGAATATATAATTGGTCTTTTCGCGCGACTTTGCAAATATATTTAGTTTTCAATTTTCTTAATTTTTGATTTCAGCTTCTTTTTGTGTAATTTCGCGAAAAGAATTTTTTGAACAATGAAAAAATCTCACCAAACATTGGGAAAAAGCGAGTAATTGTTTCCTGAGAATGGAAAGCAGGAAACAAAAATTCCATCACATTTCATGGCTGGGCCCACATTTTTTGTGGGTTTTGGACGTTATAGTGATCCAATCTTCCCCATATTTGATATTTAGGTTTCTCTAATAAAAGAAAGACTACAAACTAAATTTCATCGAAATCGGATGAAATTTAATGTTTCCGCCCACAAGAGTAGAGGGCGTGGCAATTATTCCATCTTTACCAAATTTTATAATTCTCTATTTCTAAGTAAAACTAGAGCATACATATGTCAAGCTTCAGTGAAATCGGTCCAGGTTTACTATTATTTCCACCTGCCTCCATATAGTCGAAACACTGTGCGTCATAGAGAAAAACTAAAAATGGAATTTTACTATATTTGACTCCTAGTTTCGTGAAAATATTAATTTAAAAAAAAAAACCTTAATTTCCCCCGCTTAACAAAGAAACAAGTTCCTTGATTCTGTTCTATTACCGGACCGCTGCTTCCAGCGCATCCTTCCCACATGCATTATAAGTTTCTGTTTTAAACCACTACCAGTACTAGGTCGTAACTCAGCTTACAGTAATTCATAAAGCTATGTAAAAAATAACAAAAGCATCTTGGACTTCTTACACTAAATGATGATGAGTTATTTTAATCTACTCATTCATTAGCTATAAACGTACATACCTACTTTTAAAGTTGCAAAATACTCAAGAGGCGTCTATTTACAGAAAGATATAAATACATACAGTGTTGCCAGTCACCATATAGTAAGTATTTCATGTGTATGCATTTAAAATTTTCAGCATGTGAATGTCCATTTGGAAAGGATATTTATAGAACTAAACGTACTCATACATACATACATAACACATCTGTTAAATCGGTGTTAAAAATTGCAATGTGGATTCAAAAGTAAACTTTGCTAGTTGATGAATGACAAGTGACAATTAGAGCGTGATATAGGGATAGAAATGATTCTCTATGCCCGCATCCACATTAGTGAGTATTTATAGGCATACACTTACGTGTATGTAAGTATGTGTGCATATAAATATGTACGTTGGCATACCTACGACATTTGAAAGACTTTTATCAGCTTGGCGGGCGGGTCAGGAGCGAATTATTCCTTTTTAACTGATAGACGTCATTGTTTCTAATATTAAGTATATATGTAGATATGTATCCACAATATGTATGTTAAGGAATGTATGCATGGATCGGCCTAATTGTAGGCTCCTTTTATAATCTAAGAATAAACAACCCTCGTTTGGTTATAGTAAATTTGGCAGCTGTCACGTTAGTTGAATTTAATTAGAAATATCCAATTACGAAAATCTGACAATTTTTTGCGAGGTGATCAATTCTTATTGGATACTGCTAATCATACGAAACGAAAATCTTCAATTGCGGAACACTTTGCTGGCCAACGGCTTTTCAGAATTAAAGCTATTGCAGTATTCATATATTTATGTAGGTATGGAGAAGGACCGTACCAGAAGTGGACGTACGTATGGGGACATGCAACTCTGACTATGAACAGCACAAAAAAAAAGCAACAGACATTCACGAAGCATCACATAATCTTCCGAAATTATAATTTAAGTGTATTAACCTTTGAATTTTTAAATAATCAAAGTTACACTTTTTGTAAAAAAAAAAAAATATTTCACATGTTTTGAATTTTTGTATAAAGCGACTTCATGCATAATTCTTGCCTTAGGAGACCTACAGACCTAAGTATGTATGTATGTATGCTTCTAAAATTTAGTTTAACCAAATGTATCCCACCAGAACGAGTCCTTCCACTGGGTTAAAATGTTATACAAAAATTTTGAGTAGGAAATCTTACTTGTGCATAATAAGTGTGTATGTATGTCTCTACCTTACATGAAGTTAAAATGTGTTGAAAAAGTTTCGGATCTGACCATGACTTCATAAACGCGCTTAATCTCACTGGGCAGAAATTAAGCACAGATGTAGTATAAAGCATTTTCGCTTTATTTTCTAATATAATAAACAATTTTCTAGTTGTAGATTTTAATCAAAAAACTCTGAAATTCCCACCCACGGTGTAAAGTAAATGCTTCATCCTCCGCTGATACTTTTGTTAACAATTTTACTAAATCTTGCTGCATTCCAGACAAAATACTCGCTTAATTGCTGCTCTTTTAGAATTTTCAAATATTTTAGAAATCTCAACCCTTAACAGCGCTCTTATTTGTGCCCCAGCATCCTTCATTATACAATGTTATATAAAACATTCACACACATACCTACCGCCATACCATTGTAACTCACCATTGATAAGTTGTGTGCTAAAGCCAAAATCGGCCAACTTCAAGCGATCCTCTGACAGCAGTAGCACATTTTCAGCCTTAATATCGCGATGTACAAAGCCCAAGCTATGCTATAATTTATCATCAAAGGGGAGAGAGAGGGCGAGAGCACAAAAAAAGTGTAGTTACTGCATATGTACATATGTACATAGATATTTAGTAGGTACATGCATGCATTTATTTATGTACTTATATATGGTTAAAGTGTACGAAGAATAAAAACGGCAGCAAGCGAGCCAATAAGTACAGTGTCAGAATACACAAATGGCAATTTAATGGACAACTGGTCGCCAACACTGACACTTTGCCAAGCATGCGGATTGTCCTTCTGTACGTCGCCGCCGGCTGGTCGCTCGATGGTTGTTGTTCGCTTTCAACAAGCGCTGTGCCTGACTGGCTGCCTAGTTGCTTACTTGCTTGCCCGCACATAAAGTACAGTGTATAATTGTCAACTGCTTACCATGTGTTTTACGGCTAACAACAGCTGCTTGTACAAAGGCGCAGCGTGTATCTCCCGCAGCGGACCACCCTGGGTGATGTGATTGTAGAGTTCGCCTCCGCGTATCCACTCTGTGACCAGATACACACGTCCCAGCGTTTCCACCACTTCGAAGAGTCTGCTCCGACGCGTAAAAGGGGTAAACAAGTGAAGGAAATAAAAATGAAAATTGAACAACAAGAAAATAAAAGCTGTGGTCGAGAGTAAAGTGATACGGCCATGTTGGCAAAAAAAAAAGAAGAAACAGAAAAGTGGCAGAGTCGTAGTGGAGCCTACATACATACATACATACATGCTGGCTGCCACTTTGCTGCTGCTTTGGTATCTTTTTTATTTTATCTTTTTTGTGATGCTGTGTGGCTTTGAAATTTTAAAAAAATACAAGTACACGAGTAGTATGTATGTATGTACATATGAAAGTGGGTATATACCAGGCGATCCAACGCTATGAATTCGAACATTTTTAAATCGATCGCACAAAAATAAAGTATTACTTAAAATCCATTAAGAAAACCATAAATTATTTATTATACGTAAGTTATTTATTATGCGTAAGTAAGTTATACATAAGTAAAAAACTATAATTTTCAAAGACTCAAAGTGAGAGACATTTCTAGAGGAGGTGAGTTTTGTCCGACTTCAAAAAGTTTACTGATTGGTGAAATGGTTTTCAAGATACACGTAATTTGAGCGGTGCGGGGCCAATTTCCAAAAATTTTATGATTGCTTAAGGTCGATTGTAGAAGTATGTATAAATCTATACATATGAACATATAATAAAATTGTAAAAGGCTGATGTCTGTACATTATAGATACTAAAGAAAAATTAGTATGGGGGTCTTTATTAAAGTAACAGAATCCCAATCAATAATTTTTAGAATTTTTGTCTGCCTGTCTGTATGTTTGTAAGCGCATCACGCGAAAACTAATGCATGAAATTGAAAGCAGTTTCCACCAATGTATTGCTAGAGGTCTAAAAAAAAAATAAAATAAAATATACAAAGAAAAAGAAAAAAATAGAGAGTTGCCACCTGTTTGAAAATTGAAAATAATTTGATAAGGTAAAATACATATTGCAATATGGGAATCAAACTGAAGAGGTTTAGGAAAGTTTACTGGCGGAAATATGTTTGAGGAGGGTTGCCACCTCTTTGAATTAAATCAATTAAATTGATAAAGAAAATGAAATACATTAGAGTCACGGAAAAGTTAATCGCTCGGCTAAGTCAAGCGAATTTCAGTGTTTACGTACCGCTCTAAACTTTTGGGTTTACTTTTTCTGAGCTTATATGTACCAACCATTTTTTTGGCAACAAAAACAAGCCCGAACTCAATTTGTTTACGGGTATTCGCCGAGTTTATTTTTGTCGTAAGAGTTTGAATTTATGAGCTGTGTACTGTTTGTGTGTTTTGAAAAAATGTCAATAAAGAGCAAAAATTCATCGAAAATCAGATTAAATCTACATCAAAAAGCTGAGATTGAAAAAAAATGATCGAGGTATTTACGGAAATCGATTGGCGGATTATGGTTCACCTAAAGCAGGCATCTCAAAAATAGAGAAACACGTCCTGAAAATGAGCAACTATGAAGAAGCAAACAAGAAACCTCTGCATCCAAGTTTATTTTTCGTAATGAAGAAAACTAAGTCAAAACTAAGTTTTGAATAAATAAATATTTTAAAATTCTTTAACCGCACTACGCAAAAGATATGAAAATCCTTTAGATACAAATAACTTTATTAAGTAGGAAGATTATCTACCGATCTCGTATGGTTTCGGCTTTTTATTTTTTAGTCTGTCATTGTGCCAATAAAAACGGGGAAATTTGAAGGCATTCGCGCAAAGTTGTATCCAGACAATAGTCTTTATATCTTCTTTACCTGTAATGCGTATATACATATATAAAAATTGGAACAATTACATAAATAAATGCTGAAATTGCAAAATGAAAAAGAAATTTAAAATATTACTTTGCTGATAATTAGGGAGGAGCACATAGTTTTATCAACGCCTAATGCGTTTTCCAATATTAGAACTACTATTTGCCATTATTGTTAAATATCTCCATTTTGTGCTAAAGGAATTATAGTCATAAAAAGTACGAAAGATATCTAAAGTCAGACGTACAATTTTTTTTTATAAAATTTAAATGATAGTAAAATAAATTTAAATGTGAGCACCGGTTCTCGAGATTTGCCCATGTGCGCATACATTTTAATGGGATACAGGGTGATACAAAGTACAAGATTCTTATTGATTTTATGATTTCTCACTAAAATTTGTGAATGTCATTTGTAAACTGATTAGTTTTAAACAAAATTTTTTTAATATTAACTTATCTTTTATTATGCAAATTTCATTACTCTTTAAGACTAAAGTATGATGGAAAATTCCCGTATATTGCCTGCTATTTTACCAGAACGCAGCTGCATTCGATATTGGCCTTCAAATCTTGGTAAATATTATTTTTAAAAATTTTATTTGCTTTTAAAAATATATTTGCACTTTACTCTCATGTATGTATGTATGCATGTGTATACATACATACTTATGTGCACACGCCCACATATGTATGTATATAATTTCGCATACAAATATTTTACCTAGTTTTTCACTCTGTATGCCAGGATATTAAACTCCCTCGCTCCCCTTACCTTAAAATATTGGGATGATGCACACATTCGAGTGTTGCAATTTCACTGGACAGCATACGCAGAGCTTTCGCATCCAAGCCTCCACGGTCAACTACTTTGATAGCCACTTTGTCTGTAAAAGAGGAATGGTAATGAAAGTGAATGACTACATACAGTACAAGCGAGTGAAGAGTATTGTAAACAAAGTCAAAAGTTAGTAAAAAAGTAAAACGGCCAAAGCGGATTTTTTCTGAGTGCCGAAGAACAATTGATTGCTGTGTCTTTTTTGCAGTGCTACTACGAGTACGAGTTTGTACGCATTGATTTGTACTTATTTATTGTAAGTTGTGCACACTAATACTTTGAAAGGCATTTCAGCTAGTTGCTCTTTTGTTGTGAACAGGGAAAATTTTCATTGAATTGATAGAAGCTACTGCAAATGCTTTTATCTATCGCACCGAAGTTTGATTTAATGTTTGACTTAAACCATACATTTAACTCTATGATACAGACTAAAAAACAAAAAAATTATTCCATTGTAATGTATAACACTTAAAATCTCTAGTTGAAGGGGCCTTAATTATTAGCAATCTGATTTGGTGTTGTGTTGGCAATCCTGTGGGGCTTGATTTGCAAAATACGTTATTTTGTTGAAATAACTAGATGAGTTAAAAATATTTCGTAAACGATATAAGTTTGGGTGATTAAAGCAAACCTTTTGTTTATTTGGCTAATTATACTGGAAAATTTCGAGAATATAATTTCTATGGTGGCCTATTCTGAACTTTAGTTATGTCAAATAAGTTGTGTTTCGGGGTACGGAGGGGATGTGGAATAGCCGCAATCGAGAACCAGGGAGGTTCAAGTTTTTTCTTGCTCATTTAAAAATCATTTCGGGCCTCAAGCTAACCGTACACAAACATTAGTATCCGAATATAGTAGTAAAATTTCAATATGAGTTTTCTAAATCGCAACACATAATTTTTTTTTTTTTAATTGGGTTCAAGTTTCCATATTTTGCGGTAAAATATAATTTAAACAAATATCAGTCAACTACATTTTTCTTAGCAAATGCCTCTTATACAAGCGTTTTTATTATAGTTTGAAAAAATGGAAGTTAGGGGAAAAAAATTTCCATCAAAAATGTTAAACAAGAAATTCGGAGAGTCAATTTGTCGTGAACGTCGTTTGGTATGTGGCTAACATGGCTGTTTCAAGGTGTTACAAAAAATGTTGAACCTTCTCAGCCCCGCAAATCAAGTTTTATAGGATATGATCAATCTTGAGATCAGAATAAATTTGTATTCTATTTTCTCAGATAAAGCCCACGTTGTTAAAGAAGGCATTTGGAGTTATACATACATACATATGTATATGTATAAGGCCTTTTTTAATTTGTAGACTAGAGTGTAGATATTACCATATATTTGATTTAATCTTCGATTATAACTTCGCAATAGTAAAAGTACTTACCTCGGGTTAACTGGTGAACAGCTAATTTGACTTTGGAAAAATTGCCACGCCCAATGTCGCCGCAAAATCTGTAAAGACCAATGCGTCGGCCGATAGTTACCTGGAAAATTTGAAAAAAAATTTAATAAAGCGAAAAAATTTAATATCCGTTTTTTTCAAAATCAAAAGGAAATCTATCCAAATATGTATATGTTTTCGTCTGCGCGAATAATTAAATTATCTTAAAAATGCCTTT